ATTATTCAACCTCTTAGCAAGACTAGGCTGTCTTTTCAGACCATCCAATGTGACCAAGTGAGTACTTAGGAATGAAACCAATTTTTCTTTTGAGACAGAGTCTTACTCTGTTGCCAGCCTGGCGTGCAGTGGTGTGATCTCGGCTCACTGTAACCTCTGTCTCCTGGATTCAAGTGATTCTTGTGCCTCAGCCTCCCAAGTAGCTGAGGTTACAGGCCTGTGCCACCATACCTAGGTAATTTTTGTATTTTTAAAGTAGAGATGGGGTTTCACCATGTTGGCCAGGATGGTGTCGATCTCCTGACCTTGTGATGCCCCTGCCTCGGCCTCTCACAGTGCTAGGATTACAGGCGCGAGCCACTGTGCCAGGCCCCAATTTTTTTCTGATGGAGTCTCGCTGTATTGCCCAGGCTGGAGTGCAGTGAAGTCATCTCAGCTCACTGCAACCTACCCCTCCTGGGTTCAAGCAATTCTCCCACCTCAGCCTTCCAAGTAGCTGGGATTATAGGCACCCACTACCACACTGGGCTAATTTTTGTATTTTTAGTAGAGACAGGATTTCACCATTTTGGCCAGGCTGGTCTTGAACCCTTGACCTCAGGTGATCCACCTGCTTCAGCCTCCCAAAGTCCTGGGATTATAGATGTGAGCCACCATGCCCGGCCATGAAGCCAATTTATAAAAATGTAGATATAAACTACTTAACTATGGTATAATTTGTCATTCATTCATTTATTTATTCATCCATTTGGGAATTGATTCAAGTGACTCATTCCTATCACTGCAAAGGTCTATAAATGAAGACCTTATTCCCCACTTACCTGTTAGGGCCCCAACAAAATAGAGGATGGCACCCACAGCCTCCTTTGATAGCAGGACATCTCTTGGGATTGCCTCCAGGGTCACTTCATGTCCCTTGTCTAGAGCCCCTTCAAGCTGTGGGGTAAGGTGGGCGACTATTGAAGATAACATAGGAAAGGTCCCAACCCGAGACCCAGCACGTAATAATCCCCTGACAGGCGTGAACTCTCTCCCATTTCCCCATTTCTTTTTCAAGGCCTCAAGTCCTGAAGAGTACTGGACTCCTGGGTTCCCTGGTCCCTGAGTTTTGGACTCTGGAAAGGGAAGCTTCCATCCCCTCCGGCGGACAGCCTTTCTGGCCTGCCTCCTACCCTCTGGCCATCAGAGGGAGCATGTTTGCCCTTTCCCAGGGGACAAAGGAAGGAGCAGTAGCCTGACAGCCAGGGGGCACGAGGCCGGCCTTGGGAAAGGATCTACAATGAACTCCCCTGGCCACTGGCCACCTCCTGCCACTGTCAGATCTCCCCACCTGCTGCAATACCCGCCCCCACCAAACCTTTACCAAAATGTGCCTTCTCCCACCCTTCCCCACTTCCACTGGGTCCTCACTGCCAGCTCGAGGTCTTGTAGCTCCTTTTTCTTCCCTAGAAGTTTGCTGAGGGAGCTGAGCAGGGAGCTTTGGCCCACTTGGCTCAGCTTCTCCACTTGTTGGGTCTCTCTCTGAACTTCTTCTTTTAGTGTCCTGAAGCCTTCATGGACATCCCCTGTGGGGACAGTAATGGGGCACATGGCCCTCCAGTAAGCATTCTCCCTGCAGGGCTCCACACTCACCCCCTTTAGGTCCCCATGCCCTTACCCCCCAGTTTGAGCCTGGCCCCTTTTTTCTTTTTTTTTGAGACGGAGTTTCGCTCTTGTTACCCAGGCTGGAGTGCAATGGCATGATCTTGGCTCACCACAACCTCCGCCTCCTGGGTTCAGGCAATTCTCCTGCCTCAGCCTCCCGGGTAGCTGGGATTACAGGCATGCGCCACCATGCCCAGCTAATTTCTGCATTTTTAGTAGAGATGGGGTTTCACCATGTTGACCAGGATGGTCTCAATCTGTTGACCTCGTGATCCACCCGCCTCGGCCTCCCAAAGTGCTGGGATTACAGGCGTGAGCCACCTCGCCCAGCCTCCCTTTTTTCTTTACCAAGGAATGTGGTTACGGGGGTATCCACCAGCCCTGGCCTGAGGGTTGGGGCGAGAAGGTGGACCAGGACGCATGCTATCATCTAACCCAACAGTGAATTTTCCTGATATCCCAGGCCTCATCCCACATCAGTACACAATTGACTTCTCTTTCGCTAAGATTCCACCCAAAAGTAGAGAAAGAAGGTCTGTGTTCCCTTTTCATGAGTTCGTTGACAAATAAGAATGACTTTGCCTTCTTCTCTCTCTACCCTAATGCTACCTCCATGCCAAAGTCTTGAGAGAAACGAACAAAGTTGCTTACCAACATCAGATGCCTGGATAACTGAGAAAATAAGAAAAAAAAAAAGATAAGACTGCAGTCCTTCAGAATGGCAGCCATACCAGGGGATGAGACTCTAAGGAAGATGAGGAAATACATCCTGCCTGTCTCCTGGGAGATCCCCGCTACCTCGTTCCTGGTGTTACTATGACTCAGTGGCTCTGGCCCCAGTTGCTGGGTGACCAAGTTGCATATGTGTGTGTAGCAGGTTATAGCTACCAAGACTCTTAAAAAAAATTTTTTTTTTAAGACAGAGTCTTGCTCTGTCGTCCAGGCTAGAGTGCAGTGGCGCAGTCTTGGCTCACTGCAACCTCTGCTCCCAGGTTGAAGGAATTCTCTTGCCTCAGCCTCCTGAGTAGCTGGGACTACAGGCATGTGCCACCACACTGAACTAATTTTGTATTTTTAATAGAGATGGGGTTTCACCATATTGGCCAGGCTGGTCTTGAACTCCTGACCTCGTGATCTGGCTGTCTTGGTCTCCCAAAGTACTGGGATTACAGGTGTGAGCCACTGCATCTGGCCAAATTTTTTTTTTAGAAACATCTGCTCCAGTATTTTTTTTTTTTTTTTTTAAGGCCAGGCACAGTGGCTCACACCTGAAATCCCAGCACTTTGGGAGTTCCAGACGAGCAGATCACCTGAGGTCAGGAGTTTGAGACCAGCCTGACCAACATAGTGAAACCCCATCTCTACTAAAAATACAAAAAAATTAGTGGGGCATGGTGGCAGGTGCCTGTAATCCCAGCTACTTGGGAGTCTGAGGCAGGAGAATTGCTTGAACCTGGGAGGCAGATGTTGCAGTGAGCCAAGATCTCGGCATTGCACTCCAGTGTGGACACAATTTTTTTTTTTTAGATAGAGACAGGGTCTGGACTCACTATGTTGCCCAGGCTGGTCTCGAATTCCTGAGCTCAAGCGATTCTCCTGCCTCAGCCTCCCAAAGTGCTGGGTTTATAGGCGTGAGTCATTGTGCCTGGCTCCTACTAAGCCTCTTGAGGACAAAGGTCTCAGGCATCAGACCACCTGGGCATCTGGTCTAAAGACTCCCCTTTCCACTGCTTTTTCCCAAGCTATTGGAATTTCTGCCGTGTTTTGGGGACAATTATTTTCTGAGACTTGCTCTGCCATTTCCATCAGTCCCGTGAGAAGGGAAGGAAAAGACTGGAGTTTTAAAATTCTGAGTCAAGAAAGTTTCAGTGAAATGAAAGGAAACACTTACGGATGACCTTCTCCTCTCCTGGCTTTCCTGAAGACAGAAAAAATGCACATCTGTCAGCACAAAACCCATTTCTGCCTTTTCATCTAGAGCAGTTGTCAAGGCAGTTTTTATCAGTTATCATTATAAAAACACGTGGAGATGATGTTAGCTCATCTACCCCCGAAATTTGGGAACACACTTTTCTCCCAGCCTTATTCTGCTGTTGACTGTGCTTTCCGGTCTCTGTCAGTTTCTGCATCTCTTTGGGACAGTTTTTATACACATCTATCTCTCTTTCCTGAAGCTGAGGCTGGGTATTTTTAGGGACTTGGGAAACCAAAGCAAAGGCTCCTTGGGGGATTATAGTATAAGGTAGGAGAGGATTTTAGCAGATAATGTCAGGGGTAGGGCAGAAGATGTGGGAAGCCCGTAAGTAATTCCACTTACCTCCAGGAGGGAAGGTTTGCATGTTATCGTTGCAGATATGTGGAATATCTGTGAAGGGCAAGAGGGAGGGCAGGAGGACACTTACCGGCTGCCCCACATTTCCTTCTCCAGTCTCAAGCCAAAGGGCTCTGCTAAGGACTAGGACCTTGTGCCCCAAATGCTTCATCTAATTCCCTGCTTCAGCCTCCATTGCTGGAAGCAATCTTTTCTTCCTTGATAAATTCTCTGCTATGATAACACTACTTTCTACCTTCCATTCCAGTCTCTGTCTGCTTCCTCCTTTGGCCACAGACGTCTTGAGAGCAGAGGTGATCCCTGTTCATCTTTGTACCCCCTCCCCAGTGACCTCAGTGCCCAGCACCCAGGAGATGCTCAGAACCCAGGGGCCTCTTCAACCCTCTCTCCAGAGCAGCCTCCACAGCTGCAGTTGGATCACAGTACAACACACACCCCTGCTTATTCTCTGCCACAAGAGGGGACCAGGGTGCCTCAGTATTGGTGCAGGTAATTCTCGTCTTTCGGGGAGAACATGTGGATCTCTGCTCACCCCATTCATCTTTGCCTTTGACCATCAGCTGCCTCACTCGAAAAGCCAGGACACAGCCCTTGGGGATGGTTACAGCCTCCTTGTGGTTTACAGATCCCTAGAATTAGATGATGAGAATTTGTGAATCTCTGGAGGTCTTAAGTATGAGATATTGGGAGTGTGGGTTGGGGAAGGTGCGGGGTCAGGGCTGAGAGCCTTCAGGGAGATAAGAAGTTGGAAGCCTTCAGTGGTGTCCCTGGTCTGTCTGGACTCTGAGGAAGGACCTCAAAGCCCCTGCACTCATTTCTGCTGATTTTCGTTTTGTTTTTGTTTTTTCCAATTGAGATAGAGTCTTGCTCTGTAGCCCAGTCTGGAGTGAGTGCAGTGGTGCGATCTTGGCTCACTGCAACCTCCACCTCCGGGTTCAAGCCATTCTCCTGCCTCAGCCTCCAGAGTAGCTGAAACTACAGGTTTGCACCACCACCGGCTAATTTTTGTATTTTTTTTTCAATCAGGGGAAATCATGAATGCAGTCCTCACTACCACAGATTATGCTGTTGAGTTTCACACATTTGGGGAAATTGCAGGGGTCAGCACATCTGGAGTGCACAGGCTTACCCTGGGAAAACCACCTTCGTGATCATGGTATCTCCCCTGCCAGGTAAGTATAATTTTTGTATGTTTAGTGGAGACAAGGTTTCACCATGTTGGCCAGGATGGTCTTGATCCCTTGACCTCGTGATCCGCCTCAGCCTCCCAAAGTGCTGGGATTACAGGCCTGAGCCATCGCGCCTGGCTCTGCTGATTTTCCCTCTAGTGACCCCTTTCTCTCTTCCTGCTTCAGATGCATGAAGGGAACCAGGCCAACCTGCTCCATCTCCTGCCTGCGCATCACCCTAGAGCTTCCATCCAAGCCCTGGCTCCTTCTTCCTCTTTGTCATCTGTTCCATACTTACCTCTTACAGGAAGCCTTCCATGACTAACCTCTACTCCTGGCTCCAAATCCCAAATCATCCCTTGAATATTTAGATGCAATAGGTAGAGGTATGTGGAGCATTCCTATTTCCATTGACTTTCCAAGCCTATGTTCTCTGGGCTTCAACCTCTGTTCTATGAGCCTGAGAACTTTCTGAGAGCAAGGATGTCTCCTCTTTAACTTGGGAGCACCATGAGGGAAAACCTATGAATGAGACTTTCCCCTTCCCCAGTAGTTCCCTGTGGCATCTGGCACAGGGATCTGCCCTCACTAGGTGCCACTGACCAGGGAGGAGGCGTGTGTCAGGGGTTTGGATATTGAAGAGCTGGGGGAAGGAGTGGTCCTTTTCAGCATCCTGGGTGGGCACTGATCAGGCAAAGCTAATAAAGCCTCCAGGAAGGGGCTGAATGTCAATGTGTATGTGTGAGTGTGAATGTGTGTGTGTGTGTGTGTGTGTGTGTGTGTGTGTATGTGTTTGAATCAAACCTGTAGCCCCAGTGGGGAGAAGAAGGGGAGGGAGAAGCAGGCCTCTGCCTTGCCAGCTCGCTCCAGTGTGACCTCCTGCACCGTCTCCACCACCTCCATCACCACATACAGGTTCTCGCCTTGATCTCGAACCTCTTTCAGAAATGGGTGATCTGCTGCCAGCTTCCTGTGGCAGGAGAAACATAAGGGAATGCATTCAGAGCTTTTTCCTGCCTGTGCCATGCCCTCCTCTTTTCTTCTATCATTCTCAGGGGCTAGACATTGTAGTGGCAGGGAAGGAGTGAAGACTCTGGACCAGGGCTGAGGGTGAAACCCAGATCTCCTGCTTACTGGCAGCGCAGCTTCTCTGAGTCTTAGTTGCCCCATCTATGAAATGAGTATAATGATGCTGACATCCTGGGTTGCTCAGAGATAAACTCAGTAATTATCTGGGCCAGCACCTGGCCGGGAATAGGGCCTCTCAGGTGCTTCTTACCCCCTTTTCCTCTGGTTCAGGGGTAGATGCTTCCCTGTTTCCTCCCCATTAATCTCTCTGGGACCCTTTCTCTCCATGTCTTACGCTCTCTTGTTAACACCGTTTCTCTTCTCCACTTGCTCCTTCTGTCTGCTTCCATATATAAACGTGTCTGAATCCTAACAAATTTGTTTGCATTGATCGTGCTGCTCTCTCAAATTACTGCCCGATTTTTCCCCTCATTTCATTGGCAAATATATCAAAAGATATGCCCACTCCTACTCCTAAATTCTTTTTTTTTTTTTTAAGATAGAGTCTCACTCACTCTGTGGCCTAGACTGGAGTGCAGTGGCATGATCTTGGCTCCCTGCAACCTCTGCCTCCAAGGTTCAAGTGATTCTCCTGCCTCAGCCTCCCCAATAGCTGGGATTACAGATGTGGGCCACCGTGCCCAGTCCACCTAAATTCATTCTTCCTTCCTTCCTTCCTTCCTTCCTTCCTTCCTTCCTTCCTTCCTTCCTTCCTTCCTTCCTTCCTTCCTTCCTTCCTTCTTTCCTTTCTTCTTGGAGTCTCACTCTGTCGCCAGGCTGGAATCCAGGGGTGTGATCTCAGCTCACTGCAGCCTCTGCCTCCCAGGTTTAAGGGATTCTCCTGCCTCAGCCTCCCGAGTAACTGGGACTACAGGAGCGTGCCACCACGCCCGGCTACTTTTTTGTATTTTTAGTAGAGACAGGGCTTCACCATATTAGCCAGGATGCTTTTGATCTCCTGACCTTGTGATCCACCCGCCTCAGCCTCCCAAAGTGCTGGGATTACAGGCGTGAGCCAATGCGCCTGGCCCTAATCTGCCTAAATGCTTTAGAATTTGCCTTCTATTTCCTTCTCAGCTGAGATTACAATGACCTCTTACCTGTCAGTCTCAATGGCCTTGCCTAACTTTGTGCAATACTTAATCCTGTGTCCAAACCCTCAGAGCAACGCTGGCTTCCCTTGGCTTCCAGTCACGCTGTACTGCCCTGGTTCAACTCCAGTGCTTCTAGCTTCTAAATCTTATCCATTCTGTCTGCACCTCATTTTCCATTTTATTTGGTTCTCTATAATTTTATGTTCTGTAAGATTCTGTTCTCAGTCCTGTTTTCTCAGCTCCCTCTGAAACATCCAACTCACTCCTACAGTGTTTTCTTTTTTTTTAAAGGGCTCACTCTGTTGCGCAGGCTGAAGTGCAGTGGCTCGATCATAACTCACTGCAGCCTTGAACTCCTGGGCTCAAGTGATCCTCTTGACTCAACCTCCTCAGTAGCTGGGACTATAGGCACACCACCATGCCCGGCTAATATTTGCATTTTTTGTAGAGATGAGGGTTTCATTGTCTTGCCCAGGCTGGTTCGAACTCCTGGGCTCAAGCAGTCCTCCTGCCTCGGCTACCCAAAGTGCTGGGTTGATAGGAGTGAACCTCCTCCCCTGGCCCCTACAGTTTTAATCTTTATATCGCTGATTACCCCGTGTGTATCTTCACCTTGACCTCTCTCCTGAGCTCAAGGACCTTATTTCCACCCACCTGGTAAACATTCTCAGCTGATGTCTCAGCAGAGCCAGAAACTCAAAACATCCGAAAGGAACTCACAATCTCCAAATCTACCTCTAACCTCTGTCTTCCTGTTTGTCACCGTTAGTGGTACCTTTAATGTCCTATAACATCACAACCTGAGTCAAATCTCACAGTCACCTTTGACAAAACCCCTTCCCTCATCCTGCAATCAGCTACCAAGCCCATTCTACTGCCCTTGTTAATGTGCCCTGCATCCATTCCTTCCTCTTCACTCCTGTTGCCCTTTCCCAGCTTGGGTCCTCAGTTTACACTGCTCATGGGATAGAATCAACAGTGACTTGGCTGGGTGTGGTGACTCACGCCTGTAATCCCAGTACTTTGGGAGGCCGAGGTGGGTGGCTTATCTGAGGTCAGGAGTTTAAGACCAGCCTGGCTAACATGCTGAAACCCCATCTCTTCAAAAAATACAAAAATTAGCTGGGTGTGATGACAGGCACCTGTAATCCCAGCTACTCGGGAGGCTGAGGCCAGAGACTCGCTTGAACCTGGGACACGGAGGTTATGGTGAGCCAAGATCGCACCAGTGCACTCCAGCCTGGGTGACAGAGCAACACTCTGTCTCAAAAAAAAAAAAAAAAAAAGAAGAAGAAGAACAGTATCTTGCCTGGTCTGATAGCTTCAAACCCCTGTCCCTCTTCCCCTATCTGACACACTTCCTCCATCTGGCTGGATTAGTCATGGGACACATCAGAGCATTTTCAGGATCTTCCTGATGCCTACAGAACAATTCAATCTCCTGGATCTGCCACTTGGCTCCTCTGTAGTTTGGGTTCACCCTGCATTTCCTGCTCATTCTATTCACATCTTGTCTACCCCTGCCATGCTGGCCCCTGGTGGTTGAGATTGCTCACCTGTGTGCCTTAATAACACCCTTCTCCCAGCCCTGTGTGCCCAATTTCTGCTCATCTTTCAAGGCCCAGAATGGAGGCTGCCATATCTATGAGATCTTCCCTTATTTCTCCAGCCAGAAGTCCCTTTGACATGCGGCGAGACTCAGTCAAACCATTCCTGCGGCAGTCACCACTTCCTGACTTGGATTATAATTGTAATTACTGGTGCACAGGTTTTGTTTGTTTGTTTGTTTGTTTTTGAGATGGACTCTCTCTCTGTCACCCAGGCTGGAGTGCGGTGGCACAATCTTGGTTCACTGCAAGCTCTGCCTCCCTGGTTCAAGCAATTCTTCTGTCTCAGCCTCTTGAGTAGCTGGGATTACAGGTACGTGCCACCATGCCCAGTTGGTTAATTTTTGTATTTTTAGTAGAGATGGGATTTCACCATGTTGGTCAGGCTGGTCTCGAACTCCTGACCTCGTGATCCGCCTGCCTCAGCCTCCCAAAGTACTGGGATTTCAGGTGTGAGCCACTGCACCTGGCCTGCACAGATTTTAAAAATTTTCACCTTCCTAGATTGCAAGGTTCTCGGACAAAGATGTTCTAGGTGCACCCCAGTCCGTAGTAGAGTGCTTTACTATATACATGCTTGCTGGATGACTACCCCAGCCCTTCCTTCTGGCTTTCCCAGTCCTTACCTCCTTCTTTCAACCACTACTTAACTACTTAAAAGCCAGTTCCCCTGTCAAGCCAAACATTCATGGTGCCCAGTATCAAGGTAGCACCTGCCACACCCTTGTGCTGTGGGTGGCATTCCTGAGGGCGTGCCTAGTGTGTATTGGGGCCAGGCAGGAGGCTTCATTTATGGGAGCAGAACACAGCACTCAGGCCTCAGCTGGGGGCAGTTAAGACCCATCCCTCCTCTTTCTAGTGTATTGCAGTCTTAGAGTTAGAAGGAGCCTTAGAGATGATCATCCAATCCCATCATTTTGCAGAAAAGAAAACTGAGGTCCCAAGAGAAGTGACTTTTCCAAGATCATACAGCAAGCTAGTGTGGACATAGTCCTCCCTGTGCGTGTGTGATAGTGGGGAGGTGGTCCTGGAGGCAGTGGCAGGCCTGGAGGTGTGACTAGGAAATGGCCCAGATGCAGCCATGGGCCAGAAGGGTTGCCTTCAAGAGTTCCCCTGTGGTGACCACACTGGAAAGGTCAGTGCAAGAGTCCTAACTTTCAACTCAAGGCCCAAAGCACCCTTTCCACATGCTGCCCCACCCACCTCCCAGGAGCCCCTGGGTCCTGCCCACTCTCACCTCTC